CGAGCGGGTCGGCCGGGCCACCAATGCCGCCTCCATTCCTGGCCCTGCCACCGAGTGGGTCGGCCGGGCCGCCAACGCCGCCTCCGATGCCGCCCCTGTTCCTGTGCCTGTTGGACTTTAGTTTTAGTCTAGTCTTTGTGTGAAGCTGTCATTTTAGTTTTTATTAGTTTAGTCACATTCATACTCTTTTTAGTCTAGTTTTAGTCAATGAAAATTGTATTTTAGTGTCTTTTTACTAATACAATTCTATTTAACCCAGTCAATATACTATAAGTACCTAGTAGTATAAATGAAACCAAAATTTTCTTTTAGTTAAACCCATTTCAAACAAGGTTATCTTATTATATTATTGTTACCTTATAGACTCAAGAATACATCCAATATACATTTTGTGTGATTTGGTGGCCACATTTCTCCCCATCTTTTTCCTCAACAAATTCCATTTTCTTTTCCACTTCTATGTAATTAAAGTTTTTCCAAATGTCGTTTCTTCTTTTTCTCCCAAAGACGAGCCATCGATCCCTTTCTCTGTGTCAGACTTAACTTTGTTTGTTGTCATCTTCTAAATTATGCCGCAAGTGGGGCTTAAGGAAGTAACATCACCTACGTCTGATGCGACCTGATGCAGCCCCTGAAGCGAGACTCAGGAAACAGAAATACTGCAAAATAATAATAATATCACGACTAAACGAGACGAAATGAAATGTCATTTCGTCTCGTTTTTTTTTATCGTCAACAATATTGCGTTATACATTTAATTATAGTCATCGTCACATGACCAGCATTTTCGTTGCATCTCGTCTTGTTGTCGTCATGCGATAAAGGTTCGCTGACGACGATATTTAGTCATAATTTTCATTGACGAAAGCAATGCTAGTTGTAAGTATACCACTATTATCAACATTTTGATATGCTCACTTTAAATTTTATGTTCTGATAAAGTGGTTCAGATAAACTTACTAAACTACCAGCTCCTTTACAACCTGACTGATCATTTGAATACTCATCCCAAACTGTAGTCCATACCCATCGCTTAATACAATATTATTATAACTGATAGGTATAACGGCAAAAATGGCTACAAAAAGGAAATAAAACCCAAGCTGCAACAAACCAGAACTATTACGACATGCTGTACACCTGCACTAATAGCAGTGGGCGTCACTGCTCAGCTGGTAGCCCCACAACTGATGGGGAAGCCAATGATTGTAGAGCAGCTGATTCCAAGCAGGTGATACATGTTTGACTTCATTACTCTGCCTGAAGTAACATTATGCTGCATGGGAAATGGCTAAAACTTAGAAAGTAAAACTCAAGTTATAACTAATCATAATTATAATCAAATGATATCTATTCAGTGCCTTATACCGCCAGCAAAAAGGAAAAAGATGCAGTTCATTGGTTAACATATTGTCTGATTGATCAAAAATTCTGCTGACATGAGGACTGATTAACTATAAAGCGCAAAATGTCATCTCGACAGCTCAAATAAAAAAATACTGCAATTAGTACTTGCCTTGAAAAATTCAGAATGGTTCAACCCTACCTGGGAGAGTACAGTACTATTCAGATATGGACACCATCAAACAAGCTACTCCATGTTTGTTTTTACATTCTGGCTACATTAAATAAACTTAACTAGCTAAGATCATTCACACAAAAGAAGACATGCTCCTTCCTTCTGGCCACATGAGAGAGCAATTTATTTAATATGTGCAATCTAACAATGCATAAACCCGGATATGTGGCAATATTTGAGGTATGTCAACATAGCCTAATGAAGTAATGTGCAAAAGCTTGCAAAACTGCAGAAACATATTCAGCACCTATTTCAGCCTGTTCTGATTTAACACGCAGTTAAACCCTCACAAAATAAACCCGCTAAAAATAGACGGCTGTTTTTAAAGGGTATACCAGATACTCTTAAGCAGCACTGCGTCTCTGGTGGAGCAGCTGACTGCAGCACCGAGTGAAAGCAGGACATTGAGGAGCAGCAGAAGAGGGGCCGCTCCTTTTTCTCCACTCTCTTTTCTTCACACATCTATAAACATGAGATATGCAGCACCTGCAGAGTGCACGTCCATCTGTGTAGGGATGTATGCGTGTGCGTTACTCACTCTCTGCATGCATGGGAGATGTGTGGAGGCACTGTGTATTTACAGTCCATGATCATAGTAAGAGTCTCGCTGTCGTTAGCCTCCTGGAAGGGGGGCTGACCACAAACCAGCATGAACAGGATCACCCCCAGACTCCAGATATCTGTAGAAACACAGGGAGAATGCAGTCTGTTCATACCAGAATAGGAAATCCTTGTGTGCAGATATGAGAATAAAGTGTGAGCCACATAAATGATAAAAACAAAGCTGACAGACAACAAAGTAATGAATATATCGCCTTTCTGCTTAGTGACCTAGATAGAAAACACAAACAAGAGCTGCCTGCCCCCCAATTCAATTGAGGCATGAATCATATTAGAGTCATTTTCATAAATACATGTTAGCTACGGACACATCTGTCTAACTAAGGAGGAGGCTCTGCACTGCTGCCTGCTGCCAGCACTGTGCCCATACATAAACACTGGTGTATGCACTCCCACCCAACCACACAGTCCTTGGCAAGTGGGATAAAGTGTTCATCCCTCAAAGCTTTATACAAATGCTAATTTTATAGAACAGTAGTCTTGGTCCGATCAGACATTTTAAGAGAGCAAGTTTTTGCTCCGGGCTTTCGCTGGTGTTCTGGTCAGCAGGATGCTCCACTGACACATATTCTACAGTCATGACTATAAGCAGAAAGGCACCAGTGTAAAGGCACACAGTTTCCTAATCAGTATGTTGACCCCTTTTTCATTAGGGCAAGAGCTTGGGCTATACAAGCAATGAAATATGAAGTGACATAAAGTGACATAGGAAAATGAAATAGAAGGTTGTTGTAGAACTAGATGAAATGTGTCTATGAAACTGCTAAATCAGTTAAAATACAAGATTTTGATGCTTCTCATAAGTAGAGTCAGTTTCTTGGGCCCAGGCTAAATAGAGTACATTCACTTAATGCAAAAGACCAACCAGAGTGTGTGCTTTTTTGCTTCTTCTCCTTGAGTATTCGCAGGAGTCAGCAGATATACAGAATGTCTCTTCTGCTCTGTGTAAAGCACTTTCAATTACCTTTTTGCATGAAAATGTGCTACGTAAATAGGAGTGTATACATACATTACCCGTTAAATGTGATTTGGGGCTGTTAGCTAATCCCAACAGCCACAACTGATCTTTAGCCACTGTCTAGGAGTGCATTATCATAGGTAGTGTCTTTGAATGTCAGTTAGTAAACACTTTGCTTACATTTCCAAAGCATGTGGTTGAGGTTTCATTTATTCATGTCCTCCTCATTCTACTCCTTCTAAGTAAACAATGAAAGTGAGGAAAGTACTGTCTCATAACACACATCATTTATTTGGAAATACTGTACGTCTCTTTACAGAAGCTTACGACACCAGCTAGCATCTGACAGTGGTTTTAAGTAATGCACCAAGTAAAAGCGAAACAAGCTGTAAACACAATGTTGATGAATGATAGGTGTGGTAAACATCACATTCAGCAGACACAGACCAACAATAGCATTAATTGTCATTTTTTTGGCCAACTGGAGAACTTAAATCCAGTATTCACCCTCCTGTTTTAAGTCTGTAACAACTCCTGAGAAAAATATCTAGCTAGTAACTAAGAGCTGCACTATTTTCACCAGCTAGTTGCTAACTTTGTCCATCTGATGCTTAATGATTTAGCAAATGGTGTAATTCTGCTATAGGTAGATTTTTTTTTTTTTTTGCTTAAAAAAAAGCTGCCTCCAGCTGAGGGTTGGTCAGACTGATAAGAATGAACTAAACCTCCAAGGCTGTAAAACCAAAACACTGAGATAAAGATGCTAAACTGCTGCATATAGAGCTGAGGTGAACTGCAGAGCTGAGTGATAATTATTCTGTGTTTGGTCACCAAAAGCAACCTATTTTATGTTATCGTCACTGGTTATTTGTTTATTTTAAAAGTTGCAATTAATGCTCCCCGAATGATCTGTTGTTCTGCACTACACTTTGCAGAGATCAGTATTTAATCCAAAACATAACTGTGCGTTTTGTAGGCTATAATATTAATTTAAATACTGATGCTGCCATGGAGGTTGCAAAGGCCAGTTACCCAGTTATACTTCTAAAGATTAGGAACAGATCAGAAACAGGCAGAACAGCCGTAGTATCAGGTATTATAAGTGTACTCGTGCAATTTCAGTTTGGTATATTAAAGATACAAATTAAATTAATTCCGGTTCTGTAGCGAAAAACAAATTCCTTGTGTGTAACATACTTGGCCAATAAAGGTGATTATCCTTATTATCCTTATCCTAAAGTGTAATCCTCTAAAAAGGTGGCAAACTGAGCCTGAGTGGATTTATCATCCCTGGTGTTATGTCTTCCTTGGGTTTATCATCCCTGGTGTTATGTCTTCCTGTTTTTCCCCATCACTTCACTTTGCCAGGATACGCTGGAAATTTCAATCTGGTAAAGCAAACATGCCAGTTTACTGTGGGTGGTGAGCATTTATTTCTCTGAGGCTATGAAGAAGCATCTCATACTGAAGGTAGCAATCGCTGCTGCAATCCCCACCACCATCTTACCCCTAGCCAACGTATCCTAGCAACTGTGACCCTGCTCCCTCATTATTTGCGTCAGTGGTCCGCCAAACTTCCTTCCTCCATAACTTTATTTATAAACCAGATGGCTGACAGATCTCTGGATAACACCATGTCAGCGCACATTAGTATCACTTGTGTTAATGACGGCAACTACTTAGTGGTGACAGCTGGGAGTGTAAACATCCCTTTTTGCTGCCTTACAGTGCATTTTAACAACAACTGCTTCCCTCAGATAACCATCAACCATTCCCTGGGTCTGGACTCTTTAAACCCCCAGGTTAAATGGACTAACTTCAGGATCCTGTCCCGCTGGTCATTATACAACTTTGTTTCTAAAAAAATATTTCCACTTGTGCATGTTCATTATGCACAAATATGCATGTGCCTAGGATATGTTCTTTTTAATTGCTATTAGGGAAGTTAATTTTTTAAAGTACAGCTTGAGCTTTTTGAAGAGGAACCACTATATATAGATTTCCATTTACTGGAAGCAAAAAGGAGGGAGCCCACACACTGCATAACATCATCATCTGCTCCCTAAAATGTACAAACACATTTGTACTATGCTAAATCTGCAATTTCTTCCAAAATGTTGGCATAAAAATAACATTTTGCGATTTTTGTTAGACTATTCTGTCCTCATAATTGGTTTTATTCATGTACTGTTTTGTCTTTACACCTTTATTTCTATCCATCAGACTCTCAATTGTGAACGTCAGACTGATCACTGGTCCATTAAAATACCATAAACATGTGCTGCAGTTTCAGGATATTGACCAGTAATTTTAACAAAAGGAAATCATTCACCTGTTTTGACATCTCAAATATAAAAATGTGCTGGTTTTCTTTGTCTTTTAACAAAGTCGACTAAATATCTTTTGGACTGTCTGAAGGAATTTAAAGAAGGCATCTTTCCAACTTGGAAAATTAACAGATGAACTGCAGCTGAAGTCCTGATACCTAAGCATGTGAGAGAGTGATGAAGAAGTCAGATTTGTCTGCTGGGAAAGGAGCTTGACACCTTGGATTAATAAATAAAGCTTTTTTTTGCAGTTTGGAGTGTTCTATTCCTGCTAATTGGCTCCTTCTGTAGGGCTGACTACTGGTGCAACATTCTCTACAGGAGTTTCTGGATCATCTCAAATTATTTTCAGCATTTCCTCAAAAGAGACCCAACTAGACAGAGTAAAACGAGGGCAGCCTCTTTATGTCTGCAACAAACTGGGCAGGCCGCCATCTGGCACACCACCAGCAAAACTCAGCACCCTACAGACTGTCAGCAGGTGCCTTGGTGGCAATGTAATCCCAGGCCAGATAACCTCAAAGCCCTGAAAGCAAGGACTGCTGGCCTCCATTCAGCCTGTCCCACATCACACTGCACTGCTGATAAAATCACACAATATTATATCCTGGCTGGGTGGATAATTCCCACAATCAAAATATCATCATCTCAGCTGAATGAACAGTGATGCACAGGCAATATGAACACTGCAGAGTACATACAAACACACACACATGCACTGAAAATGTTCATAAACATGTGATTTGTTATTTGGGTCAAGTGCTCCGACAGGCTTTCACACGACAGCTGACCTCACACATCCAGCTACTCAAAGCATCATACAAAAACACTAAAATGGTTAAATAACAGGGGCTATTATTACTGCACTTCCACTGTTTGGGAGCAGCTCCTCTGCCTCGAACAAAAGACAGGGAGAAGTGGTGAAGGCAGACAGAAGAAAATAGCCACTGCAAATCCACTCTGTCAGAAAACAGAAACTGCTTCTCTCTTGCTCCTGTATTTTTTCCTCCCTTGTTCTGATGCAGGGGCCTCTGGGTAGACAGGACTACTGCTGACTCTCGCTCTGTCTCTTTACCTTTTAACGCTTCCCCTTCCCCCGTTCCCCCACAGTCTGCTTCTGTTTCATTTCATTTCCATGACATTTTAATTTAATATCTAAGCTGTGGCTCAGCAAGGATTGGAAAAGAATGGTGGGAGGGTTGACAATGACAATGAGGGCACTAGAATGTGTGTGTGTGTGTGTGTGTGTGTGTGCTGTAACCACCGAAGAAGACACTGCTGTGAAAGCTGAGGAAACCAATTTCAGCCTGATCTGATAGCAGATTTTATTACACACAGAGAGTCCATGACTGTCAGTGCAAGTAAACCTCAGACAATAATAACTCACAGGTGTACAACTGCATTGCTGTGGATTAACATATTGTCTAGTAAGTGGACACACTGTGTACTCCGAGCAGCTCCCTGCGTTCTGTCAGCTGCCTGATAAAACTGCCAGTGAGCTAAGTTGCCTGCTGGGTCCATCCAAAGTACATAGGTCATACAGTACGGTCAAAGTGCATGCAGTCATCAGTAGGTCATAACAGCAGAGATTGTGTGAATGTGAAAGTATCTTTTAACTAGGCTAATATACACTACACCAGAGGACAGCATGTACAATGTTCTGGGAATACACACCAGACTACAGACTGTAACAGTTACCTAACTTTGCATATAGATCAGCACAGATATTGGCCCACTGTGAAACCCAGAACTCAGTGGCCATTAGTTCTTCTGACTTACCCACAGCGGGAGCGTCATACTCCTCCCCCAGCAGTATTTCAGGAGCAGAATAGGCCAGTGAGCCGCAGGAGGTGGTGAGTTTTTTCCCGGGGTGAAACCGGTTGCTAAATCCAAAGTCAGTGAGCTTGACAACACCCTGCTTCTCGAAGAACACTACGTTTTCTGGCTTCAGATCCCTGTGCACCACGTGCAGCTGGTGACAGTAGGAGATGGCGTGGACAATTTGGGCAAAGTAACACTTGGCCACCTAGAGACAGAGAAGCAGAAAGGATATCAAGCTATACTAAAGTATCTTGGTGTCATTTTCAGCCACAGCATGGTGCTGTATTCAGCACAAAAGCTCTATAAATCCACTGTACATCACCTTCCCAGCACCAAACAGCAGACAGACACAGAAACCAGCTAGAGAACAAGGTGGATCATTTAGTGGCTAAACCGGTCATTTTATCAGGAGTTGACCAAAAACTAGCTAAAATTAAGCGACTATTGGATGTAGATTGGCCAGTTGGTCACAAACACAACATCAAATTAATACTAATGTTGCTCTGTAACTGCTGGACAAATTTACCATGTCAACTTAAAAAGGGATAATAAGTCAATGTTGCATTCACAGCTGGTTTCTTTTATCCCCAAGTGGCCATAAAAACAACGTCCACTTGTTTAGTGGCTCCCTCACTGTGTAGCAGTAAGTGGACATAAAAGGCCAATAAAGCAGAGTTTGACAACATCTCATCCCTTTTACCCTCCTTAACCTGCCATGTTACAACCTTCAGTGTTACACAGTTGCCTCCTGATGTCTTGAATTTTTTTATCTTTAAAGAATCAGTATGTGCAGTGCATTAGTGAGCTTCTAACTCTCTTTGAATTGTCCTTCATTTCCACACTTTATCTTCAGTCAATCTCATCCATTCCCACAAGAATTCATACTGGTATGATATGTCCTTGACCTCTTGTCTCTTGGGTCATCTCGAGGCAAGTCCATGGTCATGTGTGGCTATAAAATAGCACTCCTGGAGACTGTAGAAACCTTACAGGTCAAGGACCTGTCTGCAGGTTGGATGAACCTACATTTGATTTAACCAAACAACCACTCTATTGCCTACTTACGTCTTCACTGAGGCCTCCGTCATGCTTCATGATGCAGTCATACATATCCCCTCCGTCTCCCAGCTCCAGGATGAGGTAGAGCTTGGTGGCCGTGTCGATGACCTCATAGAGGCGCACGACATTGGGGTGCTGCACCATCTTCATACATCGCACCTCCTGGAACAGGTGACCCCGCGCCACTGGGTCCAGCTTAGTCTTATCTATCACCTTTACTGCAACCTGGGAGAAAAACAGAGTTGATGAGAGACATTTGACCCAAACTATACTAACTATAACTACCAGAGGTGACACTGACATAAAGGTTGATGATACTTTTAGACTGAAGCTGCTGACTCATGTGTAGTGCCATTAGTTATAGATATTCTGATTATAAAGAGAAACATTACAAGTATTAATGCTTTGCTTTGCCAGCTTGCAAATGCTTCTAGAAACAACAGTAAGACCATCATGTGATGCTAAAACAGTCACAAAGCCAAGATCAACACTATGTATTGGCAAATCAGCTCTCTCAAATGTCTGTCTCTAGGGTGAGGCTCAGCTATTCTACAGTGTGTTGACACTGGTGAGTTAGATATCAGGAATTTCCATCACTGGCATCAAAGCAGTGCAGAGGCATGTACAGACATGGAAAAGCATACCTTCTCGCCAGTGAATACATGCCGGGCCAGTCTGACCACAGCAAAGTGCCCACGTCCCAGCGTCTTGTCCAGATCGTACAGCCCGGCAATCTTCCCATCATGGTGACGTTTGAGCCCTGCCATGGCTGCTGGCAGACCGAGTGGGAGGAGCTGCCTTCTGTCACCTGTTTGTCTTCAGTCAGTTCTCCATCTCCTCCTGAATAGGTTGTTTGGTGAGGTCTGTGGTGGTGGTTCAGTTGATTGTAGACCAGCCACGTGTGGTCTCCAGGGGTTTGAAGGTACGCTCCCCTTATGGATGGTAACAGCAAATGCTCACAAAGCTTTGTCCCGTTGTGCTGCCAGTGATCTGTTCAGTTCAGTCCCATGTTCTGTTGATCTGAGAAAGAAAATGTTACAAAGTGAATCAGAATTCACCCACTCAGTGAATCTGTAAACTTAACTGTGTCACTGCTTCATGGAAAATCATGCTAAACCCTGAGTCATGAACCTGTCTGTATCTGATGAACTTATCCTCAAGGCTGCATTCTCTCACCATTACTGTTCATTTCTGGCACCAGTAACAGGGAAGCCAAATGTTGTGCCCACAGTTTCATCACAATGGCAGATTCAACTCTGTATGCATTTTAGCATATTGTATCACTTAACAATTAAATGTTATAACCGAGGAATCAAAATGTTTTTATTCGTCATTGTCTACTAAAACTAAACAACAATAAGAAGAGTCTTTAGCCATGCTAGCAGCACTGTGAGGCCTTATATTTCCAGGTATTTGAATATAGTCTTTTTGCACATAGAACAACTAACACATTTAAGAGCAAATTTAAGAGAAAAAGTTCTTATTTCATGTCACAGACTGACGTTAACCCAGGCCCCAATTAATTTTGGGGTTGTGTTGGGTTTGTTAGATCAGTAACACAGCTTTACAGAATAAAGGGAAAATAATTATAGATTACCAGCTATAATTATTTTATAGATGACAAATATATTTATTAGGGCTCTAACTTTTATTTTTATTATCAGATCATATATAGGTTTTCCCATCCATAAATTGAGTGTTTATTATATTACATGGATAAAAAACCAACACAGGACTTGTGTTGTTTTCATATACACTATCTTGTTTTGTTGACCAACAGTTCAAAACCCTGTAATTTACAATTTTATAAAACATTGAAAATCATATTTGAAGACCTGGAATCAGCAGATCAAATAATATGTTTATCAGCTCTAGTTCACATTATAGTTACGTAAAACTGTCCAGGGGTTCTCTGATATATTTAAATTTTTTTCATCATTCATGTTGTGTTTTTTAACTCTTTGGCCCCTGAAGGTGACAGGTCATCTCAAATGTTGCCATGCTCACATATCTGACCCATGTTCCTTTCACTAGAACATAGTCATCATACAATGTGTTGCTTCACAGCCCTGATTATGA